CACACACACACACACACACACACACACACACACACACACACACACAGATACACGAAAAGCGAAGGTGATCCCAGTACATCTCCACAAAATATTGACAACCAACGAAATCGTCTGATCCGGCCCTGGCAACGAGCGGCAAGCAAGGCAACATTGAATGAGGCCGAAGAGACTCTTGACTCGGCGAGACTGTACCTCCGATTGGTACCTCGAGATGATACAACTCATTCGACATGGCGCCTTGTTCCGGCTGGCTGGGTCGCCAAACGCAGTCGTAAAATAGCCATAACTCACATAAAACCAGGCTTACAGGCCTGGTTCACGACAGCAGAAGACAATAATCGCTGACAATCAACATTCTGTTGCCCTGGCCATCCACCCTTCGCAGCCGAGTAACGTAGACTCGAGTGTCTCTTCACTCTCGAGGATGTAACGTTGGGTGGAATGTGTAGAAAATTTGATCTTTTTTACCTTTCCGGCATCATTTTGCATCAAAATTGTCTCAATCTTCACCAGCCTCATCTTTATCATCGCCATAATCATCAGCAAATTGTCGTTCTTGTCCTTGTTGATCTTGTTTTTTATGCTCTGGTGCACTTCATTGCTGTCTTTGTGCTCACTCTTCTCCTAATTGCCTTTGTCATTATTTTTACTTTTCTTAAATTCTTACCTCTTGTTCCAGTTTTTTCTTATTCTCGTTATTTTTTATTATTGTCCCTTTAATTCTCGTCTTTATTTTTTTTGTTTTAGTTTTTTGCATTCTTACTTTCGTGCCGCTCGTTCTTCTTGTTACAGTTCACTTTTTCATTCCTGTCCTTTTTTGTTATTGTTTTTGTTCTTATTGTTCTGGTTCAACCAACAATCTATTCATCATTTATTTTCACATTAATTGAAAGTCTTCACAACCAATCTACAGCCACATTTCGTAAACGCCGTTTCTGAGGCGAATTTTCTAATCATTTTGCTCTCATCTTCAGACGGAATGAAGGGTATGCCAAATCCAATCGTTTAGATA